TGAAAGATTGAGAGTTGCGGTAACTCTTGTTGGTTGGTCTACAATATTAATTATTCATAATTTTGTTTCCACATAAACAAGTGAATAAGATATTTTTATTTCATGTACTGCGAAATCCGTCATTTTCTGACAGAGGAGTATTATCTTTATTACTCTATAGCTTAAGTATGATCGAAAATTTAATCAGTTGTTTTATATGCTATTGTGCACACTTTTATATCGACGCTAATGCAAAGTTATTTGAATGTGCTGCATGTGCTTTGCCGTGGCATCTACATGAATCTTCATAGGTAAATAGATCTCAACAAGGAGAAGTGCAGTGCACAATAACCGTCACTCTCTTTTGCACAATCTGCGAGTTATTGCCCTTTATTACTGTTCATACATAAATTTTGTCTAAAGCATTACACTAAAATTATAAGAGGTATTAACATGAAACTTCCTAGTTAGATAGAACTCAACGAGTAGGAGGGCAGTGTACAAGAATCCTAACTCTCTTATTGCTCTTTGATATTTTTCATACTTAATTTCTATCCAAATCGGGGCGCATAACCCGTCTCTGACGGCCCGATACTGTAAAACCTTTGGTCAACCGCAGTACACTACGAGATAGATAGGATGGTAATATTTCAACGTTAGTCATAAATTATCTCCTTGAAATTATTCACGAGGTATCCAATCAAGGCAATTCACCAAAATTGCAGTTTGGGAACCTGTTTGTCATTTAGATTCATACATGGACAGACTGGTCACTGGAACACTTCAGGATTATGTATGACATAAATGTGTGAATCTGCACCTCTTTCAGTTTTTGACCAGAGTCTACCTTTGGGCAAAATTAAAAACTAGTAATATCATGGAATCAAATGACTGTCTTAACAAATCTGTCCCAAATATCGCTATCTAGATATTTTCACAAAATTGTAGAAATTTTGAACACAAAAATTGTGCCAAAATTCCTTGGCACTTCCCATATCTCATGCTTTCGCAAAATCATTTTATGGGGAAAACGTCAGCGTCATATTTGATGGTACGTATATTTATATCGACAGGAGTAATGACAATCAATCCCAGAGGGCTTCCTATGGAGGACAGAAAAAGCGCATCTACTTGAAATTCATATCCATTTTGTTGCCTGAAGGATATGTTTTGGACACGCTAACTATGGAAGCATCAATGATACAACAATAAGGAAGCGCATTATGGAACATTTTAATGGTCTTAAGGGTTGGTTACAAGACAGTGATATGTCATAGTAGACATAGGTTTTAGGGACATTTTAGATGTCCTGACCGACTTCGGGTATCATGCAAAAATGCAATCATTCTTACCAACTGTAAGTCACAAACTGACACAGTGCAAGCAAACAATGATCGTTTGTGCACAAAAACTAGATGGGTAGTTGAATCGTACCATTGTCATTTAAAGAGATGAACGTTTTCCAGGAACCAATTACTATCCAACTACTCCATCCAAGTTATTGTCAAGCTGGTCCTCATTATTACAACAAGCTTGAACTGCTTCAGAAGAACAATACATCAGCCTGGTGTAGACAGGGAGCAGCAAATCGCCAAGATGGCACAATGCATGTTTGCACGTGTGAAAGAAGACAAATATCTTGTAAAGATGGTTGCGGACGACCCATACATGTCTCGCAGAGCAAATTCAGAGTGGAAGAATCTAGGAGCATCCAACATTCCGTTTCCTCAGTTGAATTTTGAATACCGGTAGACGATAGCATGCGGCATATATCAGTTAGTTACATTTCTGAGCACCAACCAGAATGTGGTGACTAGGAAGGCTGGGTGTACAAGCATACAGATCTTGTTCGTTCCTGACGATCCTATGAAATCGTACTAATCGGGCAAGAGAACATCTAGTGTGTGTGCTCATGTACATGTAGTCTTAATTCTTTGCTATTTATGGCATTACTTGTACATACACAGGCAAAAACACACTCAACCAGCAAATTCAAAAATACAATTTTGTGAAGTCTGAACAATGAAACCACCTCATAAGAATTATTAGATTTCCTTACGCAATGTAGGAAGTAATTACAAAACCAGGTTAACGATTTTCTCTTTAGGTCAACAGTAATTGGTACTTTCTTCCAGACTTGGTTGTGCGGAATTATTCATAAATGGTTATTATTGATAATCAAAAGTTAACTTTGGATGAAAATATGTTGTAGAGATAATATATTATAAGGGTCGTTTAGATGCTTCTAAAATGGTATCATGGTGATCCCAACCTCAATGCAAACCCAATTTTCCATTAAGGCATTGCTCGAGCGCATGTTACCAGGGTCTGTCGTGATTTTCTCACGGCAAACAACGTTCAGCCTCTGTAATGGACCCCACATAGCCCCGACATATCTCCCATTGAGCATTTGTGGGATGAGCTGGACAGGCGTATTAGGAAACGTCAAAATCCCCCAACTAACTGCATCCAGTTGATCGTAGCATTGACATAAGAATGGAACAACATTTCCTGAAGGCGAATAAATGTTCTCATGAATTCAATGCATAAGAGAATCCGTGCAGGGATTTGTGCAAGAGGTGTCCACACCTGGTACTGAAGTGTCATGTTGGGTAACTACTGACGACACGAGTGAAGTCACAAAGACTTTTCTTCTATAGCATTGTAAAGAGTAGACTTGTCCCTTCACATTGATATAAAATTTTGTACAAATTTCTCAAAATATCCTTGGCTATTGATTGCATAATTTAATCAATGAAGCAATGCCCTTGAAAGTGGGTCAACGTCATTGATTGTAACCATCTTGGTAGCTCTTCATTCAAGCATTCTACAAGAGCAATATCAACACCCAACAAATTTTGGTTGATGAGAAGTTGTTTAAAGCTTAGAAGTGTATCAAGGTCAATCACGTGAACAAACCTTGTATTGCTTCATACGAGCATGCTAGAGCCTCGATATCAGCACCCTGCAACTTTTGTTATTTAGAAAAAGATGTTTGATTATTTCAATTCATCGACCGCTGTAACCGCTAAAATGGGTCAATATAAGAACCTTGGGCCTTTTGGTTACTGAAAAGAAGTAATTTAAATGGAAAGTTTACGCACAGCAGATGGTGCACAATGGCCATTGCAGTGCATGACTATGGACGAAACATGATGACTGTATGTCATCCTGATGTTTTGGGTTAAATGACCTAAAATCCTTAGGCAAAAGTCGGAAAGAAATTCAAAGAATCCATTTTTGAGGTCGTCTATAATAATCAGGCCTCAATACAAATCAAATCTGATCATCTTCCAACCCTCATAAGAAGCAATACTGGTATATTGAAGTTACATCCCTTACATACAAGTAAACAACACAAATGATTTCTTTTTATCTTTATTTTTGAATTTGACAATAACATTTGATATCAATTACATTTTGTACATGTAATAAGATAACGTACTTGATAAAGAGCATGTTCTAATCTAAGACATCTTTTCATTTTTTCATTCTTTGGTCAAGTTTTCTCTCTGCTCTCTCACACACATCCCTCCTTTATAAAATATAAAGCAGTTTTCCCACAAATCCTTTATCAGAAGAGAAACATTTTATCAGGTTCTTCAAATGTTTCTGTTTCTTTTTCTAGAATACTGTTTAACGAGTGAACTTTACAAATCAACTTACTGTTTCAATTGAAAACAGTGTTAACCACATGGAGATCATTTCAAATTCAAACATATGATGTAAATTTTTCTTTCCAACCTCATTAAAATGCACCAAATATTCTTCTCTGATAAGTTACTTTTTTTTAATTTTCACAATGAGAAGCTTTGAACAAGGAAAAAAACCAGGGAAAATGACATTTTGATCCTATGCTTTACAATCATACAACCTGACATATGACACTGATTAAGCAAATCAAACTTAACAAATATTTTGCACCAATTTTCACAACAATTGACCACATAATAGTCACATTAAATATATACAAATTATGGTCATGTTCGACAAATTAGGTACTAACAATATGATGAAATTTAATAATTTTCCAACACCAGTTTGAAACATCATTGTTTCAAACTAGAATATGGCATTTTTTACATCTCGATAAAAACAATTTTGAACACAAAATACGTAGCTTAGTAGCATATACTGATCATCATAGCAAGTTGCCTACAGGAGAATATTGAAACTTATAAAACTTCTGGATAATAATATATATTTGTATACTAACAGCAAAACAATCAACTCGTACACTCCCATATATCAATCTTTTTTTAAAATCAATACAAACAACATAAACACTTTTCTGTATGTGGATTTGAAAATTTAGGATATTTCAACCTTGGAATCACAAAAAATTGTTAAAACCTGAACCTCAACAAAGCATTTTACCACATCAAGTGATCCTCAAGAATGGAATATTCTAAACTCTCTCTATACCACATGTTAACTTTCTTCTCCCATACCCTTGTGATTCAAGATCATTGTTTAATATACAGAGCCATTCTTGTTCACCATATTTTGTTGCACATATCGTCCATATCGAGATGGTGAGGAATCTAGTACTTTATACATAGATATTAGAGAAAATCTGATAACACACACTTCTGATACCTCACTTCCAGACACATTCATACAACTGTATCAAACCTCAGATCCTTCCTTTAGTTAAACACAACATGTCAAGGAAAAAACAGCTACTATACAATATTGCATTGCACAATAACGACAGAAAAACCTCCATATAATGCCAAATCATATACTGGATACTTTCAGTATAAAACATATTTCCTATCCCAAAGTTTCACTGAACCTTTTTATAATACCTAATTATATATCAGGCACTGGCAAAATAATGTAAATCCATTTCCCCTCTCTCAATATTTAACAAAACCTTTATATTGCCAATTTATATACCTGGTACTAATCAAAGTCACTTTTCCTCTCCCAGTATTATACAAAACCCTTTACAGAATCCCAAGTTAGAACTAAGCAATGTTGGCAATATAAAAAGGTTTAAATTCAGTTGAAAAGAAATATTTTGGTGAACTGTAGATTCATTTAAAAGAATCAATTTAAAAAAGTTATTTCACAACACATTACATATTTGATAGGTTGTACACAAAACTAACAATACTAAATGTAAACTGTACAAACTATCCTTGACAAAACAAAACCATTGACAACATCGTCTATATTTTTATCAATATCAGGTTTTTGGATAGATTGTTATGCCTACCCGACATACTGACATCAAACAAGGATAAATTTCCAGGTTGATACCATTCTGTCGGATGGATATCACAATATATTTGAAATGCTGTAAGTTCACAGATCTTGAGTTGAATCTAAAACTAACATCAGTAGATATCTTTTTCTTACCATATAATCCAAAATAATTTTTCAGGGATATGAAAATAATAAACATTGATAAACAGTTATGAACAACTTTTTTTCTATTGGTAAAAACATTAAATGCTGACATAAATGATACATGATTTCCCTTGAATTTGTAAACATTGCTCGATAGTCACTTCCACTTCACAGCCAGGAAGAAGCTGAAAATAACACGAATCTGAAGGGGACTGTTTGTAATAAGTAGAAGTAAGGGGAGGGGGATATCTGAATGCCACTCAAAACTGGACAAAAATGTAAATTTAGTTATTCATTTGTTTTCATAGCAATGGGGATGAATGTGACAACTAGGCTATATTTACCACGGTACCAAGAAAAATACCAAAAGAATGATATATATTATGAAGTTTCAGTATCCTGAATGATTTTTTAGATGCTCTCAAACTTTATCAAATGAATGAAATTTATTTATATTGCCCACTAATTTGCTATTTCTGAATTTTCATTGTGGCCAACATACTTACCTTCAAAATTCACCCTAAATCATATTTTGGACTAAATTCAGGTATTGCTTGTATGTGTTGGGGAATAAGTTATAAAATGTCTGCAGTATTTAAAAATCATTATTTTGTTCTGATGTAGAATTTTGCTTTGAATTTAAATTCAATATAATACAGCTTATGGGGTATTCAGTAGTTAGAAACTCTTTTGTTTTGAACTTGAATTCAAAAACAGAAATTGAATTCTTTCAAAAATGTTCCCGAGTTGTATTTTACAAAGACAGGATTTCACAACAAGTCCTGACATTTAACCTTTACATCTCTTTGAGCTTTGAGATCAAAAAGAAAAGTTCACTTGAGAAATCTAAACATCATTAAGAACAACACAAAACATTACACACTTTGAAAGAGGATCTAATTTTTGTATTTTGAGCTTTAAAAGACTGGTAATTGTAAGGGCTATTCCAGTAAAACATCTATCTCAAACCAGGATGTCAGGTTTTGTTGGTGAGTACCACACATAAGATGTAACTGATAGTTTGAATAGGTCTAAGAGGCAGGAAACCTAAGCAAGGATAGGTGATTAATTTTGGGAGTCCTGGGGACAAATAGATGTTTTACCGATGTAGCCATAACCAATACACATTTAAGTAAAGACTATTAATTTTTTTTTCTTTCTTCTTTTTTTTTTTTTTTTTTTAAAATATTTCTGGGATATTCCACCTTAAGTTTGGTCAGTTTGGACAGGCGGGAATAGTCCCCAGTCAACAAAAAACCGTCTTAATATAGTGTATCAGGAGATCCAAACCTGAACGATCACTTGATCATAAATATTGTGCAGAGTATTTGGTAAATACACAAGCGTGTATCCTTTCACTAAAATTTCTGCTGAGGTTGCAATTTCATTACTTCATGAGGATTACTTTCTATAGTTTTCATAATTAACACAAATATTTAATTCTGTTGGCTAATAACAATGCAAACCTGTTATGACGCAATCTGGGCTGTGTGAACATTTGTAAATTGATATAGCTAGGTCTACAAATAATTTCTGCAAATTATACATCCTATGTTGATTTAAATGGTACACAGAGGTGTACAATTTCCATAAAAAAGTAGACAACTTTGTATAATTTTCCTCAAAAGCATCTTATGGAATCCTAACTTGTGCAGAATATCCCTTTAAATATTTATTTCCAAACTGTTTCCTCACTTAATTCTGTTTGCATGCAGTTTATATTGCTAGAATTTAATACATATCTTACTATTACGATGTAATTTGACCTACTTTACAAATAAACTTGGAATAAACTGAAATGGACTCTTTCGAGAAAAATTATCTTTATCGCCATATCAAGATACACAAAAACTTTTTCATAAGCTGAAACATTCAAACTATGATCTGTTCAATAATTAAAATAAATTTATTGTTATTGGCAAAAAAAACTTTGAAAAACAAATTATGTAAATCTGAGGTTTGCACATGCTAAGAATTATTACAGATATAAATATATATGAAAGGAAGGGATGGAAGCAGGGAAGTGCGACCAAAACCCGAAATGTTTCTGCTTGAGGTCCAGTATACAACAGTTAACACTCCATATCTATTACTACATGTACTATTAAATTTACTATAAATTTAACAATGTAATTTGATCCCTTCAAAAATTCAAATCTGTAACAGTCCTTAAAATCAAATTTCTTTTTTTTAAAGAAATTCTTTCCATACATACACACTCACACCTTTACAATAGCAGTTTATATATTTTCAATTTATTTCATACATAAACTAACTCCTCACCATTAAAAATTAAAGAAACCTGATTTCCCGCAGTATCCAACATAAGACTGTTCATGTATACCCATTTCTGTACAACATTTTTAAATGACAACACAAATAATTATAATAAAAGAAAATATTTTTCACCATTTAAGGTTAGAAATCTTATTTCCAGAAGTATCCAACCTAAGACTATTCATTAATTTTCATTTATGTACAATATTTTTAAATGATAGCACAAACAATAATAATGAAAAAAAAAATACATTTCAATTGACAAAATATCTCTACATATGAAATTCTGGTAACTTACAGTCTATAGAGGTAATAGTAAAACGATCATGGACTAACCACATCCACTTTAAAATGCATGCTATCCTTGAGAATTTTATGAATTTTTAGTCCTTTTTTTGTCCTCTTCTGCTAGAGCTTCCATTGAGATCAATCAAAGTTGTTTTAGTTTGTTTTTATGCCAGGAGTTCATCAATTTCCCTGAGTAGGTCGTCATCGTTTGTTTCGTCTTCGGAGATATCTTCGTCCAGGTCCCCGATGTCTATGTCTAACCAACTGTCGTTATGTGATGTCCTTTTGGCAGGTGTTCTGTATTAAAAAATGTTTATAATTGTCAAAACTCTTCTAAACAGTAAAGAAATAAAGCACTTCATTTGAAATATATCAAAAAATCTTGGTACCAAAGTTCATGTTAAAGTCTTACCTCAAGCGTCTTGAAACACATATTAAAAATTCAAAGGACCCCAGCAATTTTCAGGGATTTTGTATTAACTATGCAATAGGACCCTATTTAATTTGTAAATGACCCAGTCATCAAAATTTTAGCTAGCCAAACCCAGGTATATCATGAATATATTTGGTAGTCCACAAATGTTTAAAACATCATTATCATACATAGATCATTTATTGTCGTGGAGCTCAGTTTTCATGGTTTATTTTTTTTTTTTAATCTTTTTTTTGTGTGGACATTTTAAATGTACTTACACTAATTATGATAGCTAGTTGACAGATGAAATTGTGGATTAAGAGTATCCACAAAATTAATAAAAATAATCCCCCACAAAAATTAATGGTTTTGCAGTAAATGTATGTCCTAGGATAACTATCTATAGAATGACATTGGTTATGACATAATATGACTCTATAATCCGAATCTTGATTTTGCAGCAGGTATATACATGTACTACTCTCAGTAAAAGTTTCTTGGAAATCTTAAGTTGAAACCTTATGAACAATGGCTCAGTTTATCTGTAATTTTTCTGCAGCTTTAGCATGTAGTGAATTGTAATATGTTATACAGTAATGCCTTTGAAGTATGACAAACTTGTTACACAAATGTGCAGGTCATAATAATCTAACTCACAGAACATAAGGTCCTTGCAGGAAACAAGAGTCAAAGCTTTGAAATCAATGATTTATTTGTTTTACAAATAAATAAAGACAGGACTGTCAAATTTATAGAAAATTATTTTACTACTCCTCCATATATTCTTTCAAACAAAAATTATTGTTCATTCTTCCATGTTAAAGAGCTCAGAAGTATGGCTACACAACATAAGATTTAAATGGTATCAGTCCTTAGTATATATCTATTTAAGTGAATTTCAAAAAAATCAAATTATAATTTAAGGCATGACCTTACTGTTGCTATTCTGCGACCTAAGACAACCAAATATGGTAAGAAATCCTGTCAATTTGTGGCAACCAGAATGTGGAACAGTCTACCTAATGAGATAAGAAAGGCTGAATCCTTTCCCGTATTCTGGAGACTGTTACTGTCAAACTTAAACCTTTTGTTATATTTACAGCTGCATTTTTTAGGTGGTTTTTGTGCCTGTGAAACTTTTATATTGCCATTCCCAAAATGTTCCTTCATAGATACTACATTGTTGTTTTAGATTAGGCTATATATGCATGTATCCTATCAATTTTTAGTTTTTTCCATATTGGCATATATGTAAATTAGACACATGTAATCTGCGTGCTTCCTGAATATTGTTCACATAAACTTTAAAATTTGTGTTATTTTACTATCTATTCTTCTATCTATAATGCATGATTTCATTGTGATATTTTGTTTTGTTTATTATTGTACTAATGTTAATAGTCATAAGAATCACCCTACTGTGCTAAAATTACCTGTTCAAAACACACATGACTTTAAATAAATATTCTTGTATCTTAACAGGCTTGTGTTGTCATTTTCCATATAAACATAGCCGGAAATATAAAAAAAATCTTGAGAAAATTTGTAAAGCTGGGCAGCGGACAATACAAGTCGGTTGTAAAAGTCTTGTCATGTTTATAAAAAATTAACATGGGATATAACGTCGTTCACTTCAGTGAAAGTAACCGGCAGCTGTGCTACACTGAGCACCAAGAGCTGACTTACTAAATTGGACATTACAAAAATGATATAATGCAGGCTTTATTCACTATAAAGCACTTTTGTCATTGAAAATACTTACACTATCGTTTCTTCTTGACCGATGTTACTGCTGATGGATACAACTGATTCCTTTTTATCATCAGGTAGTTTTTCAGAATAATTTTGGTCCTTGTGTTCTGAAACACCAACAGAATGGTCACCTGCTCCATCTAAGTCTTGTGTGGAGCTTATTTCCGACACAGCAATGGCAGGTGCAACTTTATATGTGGATGTCTGAGGTAAGTTATCCTCCATCTTTGTGTATTGATTGTCAAGTACGGGTTGTCTGTTACCTAAATTGTCACTTCTAGTAACAGGAGTAGAGATCGAGGGATTTGTTTGGTCCTTTTCAGTAAATGACCAGCTTTGTGAGTTGGATGAAGTAACTATAGAATCTGAAAATGATGATGAAACTGGCAAATGTCCCGAGGATGATGTTGATGATATCCTTGGTGGTAGAACTGAATCGGACACAGACACTGACAATGGCGATTCTCCCAGTAAACCTAATTTGGTTGAGTTGTCTGCCAGATCTGAAAGTAATAGAGAAACAAATATACTCAAATAATTTAAACCTGAAGCATAGATAGATATTTTCTTTCAATTTTCACTATTCTACAATGTACTGTTGTTCATGCAAAACTTTGTCACTTGGTTCATTATTTACAAATACAAGTAGTTCTGTGTTTGCTGGGTTCATCTCCCAGGGTCATTTTGAGGCAGGATCTCCTTATAATAAGTGGTGGCTATCTCATAGAACAACATACAGGAGACCTGCCACATTTAGTGCAATTAGGGTAAAGTGTTTTGCCATTCGATGCAACCATGTCAGCATAGACCAGTCCGTTTCTCAGCTTCCTCTGAACCACAAATCACCATGGGTAATAAGCATGAAACCATGCACTTCAGATCTTCACCCGAGGCTATATCAGCCAAAACCATATGAGCTATTGTGGCTCTTGTAGCTCAAACTCAAAATGGTTCTGTTAAGGCTTAATATTTCAAATGGAATCCGATGCTGAATATAGTTACACATTCTTTCCATGGTGTTGAAGTGTGCCAGGGTTTTATGGTTGGTGTAAACTAGAGTACCGACCTGGTCAAGCAGGTGACTCCCATTCCTGTTTAAGTCTCATCAGGAAATTGAAGCCTGGTCTACTATAGCTGAAAGGCGGGTACATTATTAACTGCACCATCCTATCATCCTAAAATTTCCTTACATACATATGTTTGTCTCTTAAGTCATTTTGCAGTGATTCTCATAACAATGCATTAACAACATAGGATCTTATGAAACCTAGAATTTGAGAAAGAGCCATCCAGCATGTCTTGAAATTAATAGCAGTAACAAGAACAGCTGATGATGGAATACAGGGAGGTGGACAGATAAAAATAAATGTTAAGAACGTCGCATAAGCTAAAATTTTATCTGTAATAATATCTCCATTACCACTTTCACTAATGGCAAATTTCACAGGGCTGTACGTCTTTTTGCTTGGAGAGCCATCCACTGATGATGAAGTGTTCTTTTGTTCCTCTACTAATTTTTTCTGTCGTTCTCGTTTCTCTGCCATTATCTGAGCAAATGTTTTCATTTCTTTGGACTTTTTCTGGTCTTTTAATCCCTGAAAATGAAGAGAAAATTTTCTTAAATATTGTAACCATACTTCAAAGTCAGGCTTTTATCAATAGGACTAATCATTTAAATGAATATTTGCTACAACGTAATTCCATTTCAAATTCATATTCCAACTTGCTTGGACTTACGAGAAGAAGACGATGTTTCCTATTCGGAAAAACCTGGTCTTATCATATCCCCATACTTTTGCTATAGGCTCTCCATGTAAATTTCAATTTGTTAAATTTTTGCCCTCATTTCATAAATTTTTAGTTTGAACTGGCATTTTGCAAACAAGTTGGAATATTATCATTTTGGTATAAAGCAATCTGATCTGATTTTCAAACAAACACATGAACAGTATACTTAAAAGAAATTCAATTTCACGTTTATAAATCTTGCATCTACTTCATTTAAACTCTATGATTGTAAAACAATTTATAAAGCACATATTTTTGTGTTTTGTGAAACTTTTCACAAGACCTCTAACAGATTTTCAAGATCTACAAAAAGGTTGTGCTGAGAATATAATTTACAAGTCTGTTGCCCTTACCAACATGTTTTCTTCAGCAAATCTTTTCTTAGAAGGTTCCTCACCATCTGGTATAGAAGCTGAAATTATTAATGATATTGTTTTTCATGAAATACATAACATGGTTTTATTAACTTTATTGACAATAACTATGAATCAGGCAATCACATCAATTTTTATGAATAATCACTTGTGTTGGTCATGGAAGAATGAATGTGACCTCACTATTATAAGCCATTGGTGTGGTGGGAAACTGGCATTTGACCTGTCACTAATTTAAACACAGAAACATACACATGAGGGTCACTGTCATGAAGGATTTATCAAACAAGTTCAATAATAAGAGTTACAAGCCTTCATAGATTTATTTACCAGTTATATTCTGGTATTATAAATCATACCCCCAAATAAACCCCCTCCCCTAGTGTCAAATTACCATATATATCTTAAATAAACCCCCTCATCTAGTGTTAAAGTACCATATATATCTTAAATAAACCCCTCTCCTAGTGTTAAAGTACCATATATATCTTAAATAAACCCCTCTCCTAGTGTTAAAGTACCATACATATCTTAAATAAACACCTTTCTAGTGTTAAAGTACCATATATATCTTAAATAAGCCCCTCTCCTAGTGTTAAAGTACCATATATATCTTAAATAAACCCCCTCACCTAGTGTTAAAGTACCATATATATCTTAAATAAACCCCTCTCCTAGTGTTAAAGTACCATATATATCTTAAATACATCCCTCTCCTAGTGTTAAAGTACCATATATATCTTAAATAAACCCCTCTCCTAGTGTTAAAGTACCATATATATCTTAAATACATCCCTCTCCTAGTGTAAAAGTTCTATATGTATATTAAATAAACCCCTCTCCTAGTGTTAAAGTACCATATATATCTTAAATAAACCCTTCCTCTAGTGTTAAAGTACCATATATATCTTAAATAAACCCCTCTCCTAGTGTTAAAGTACCATATATATCTTAAATAAACCCCTCTCCTAGTGTTAAAGTGCCATATATATCTTAAATAAACCCCTCTCCTAGTGTTAAAGTACCATATATATCTTAAATACACCCTTCTCCTAGTGTTAAAGTGCCATATATATCTTAAATAAACCACCTTCCCTAGTGTAAAAGTACTATATGTTTATTAAATAAACCCCTCTCCTAGTGTTAAAGTACCATATTTATCCTCAAAGAAGCCCCCTATAATTTAAGTATTTAAGTTCGGGGAGGACTTATTTGTTAACTTACCATGTTAATATGGATGACTATGCAAAAATGAAGGAGGCTTATTTGTGGGCAAGAGCTTATTTGCAGATAAATATGGTACCCATAAGTCCCATACTAAAAATATCAGTATATGAATTTCAGATTGAATGTATTGTAACATTAAATATGATATTGACACAATGACACAAATCTAAAAATCATAAGCTCTCTACTCAGTCACAGGGTGGGCTTATCACTAGATCATAACTATAAGCCCAGGGATCTATCCTGGAGCCACTATATTATTTCACAACTTAAGGGGTTAGGTTTATCATGGACCCATAAACCAACAATTCAATTTCATGACCTCCAGACTCTGTCATGGGGTGGTTTTATCACAAGACCATTAAAATCAATCCCAGGACCACCCCTTTGGCTCCTGACTCAGTCAGAAGTTGGGGCTTATCACTGGATTATAATTTCAAGCCCTGAAATCAATGCCTATGAACCACATTTGCTCTTCACTCAGTCAGAGGGTGGGTTAATTACAAGCCCTGAGGATCAATCCTGGAAAACCACATGAGCTCTCCACTCAGTCAGAGGGAGTATTAATCACTGGATCATAATTTCAAGCCTGGGATCAATGCCAGTGCATCACATCTGTTCTTCACTCAGTCAAGAGTGTGGAAATATCACTGAATCATATAGATGAGCCTGGGGATGAATCCTAGTGTATCACACCCACTCTTAACTCAGAGGGTGGGTTTATCACTGAACCATAATTACAAGCCCTGGGAATCAATCCCAGCTCACCATAATGGCTTCTGACTCAGTTAGAGAATGCTTTTACCAAAAGACTATTAGCCCAAGGATCTATTCCTATACCACTACATTAGTTCTTGTGTCAGGGGATAGGTTCGTCACAGGACCATATGCCCAAGAATTCATCCTGGAACCAACACATTTCCTCACATTTACTGACAAGAAATAAATTTATTACTTCACCAAGAAATACTAATCTTCTGAATAACAAATGTTTACAAGGCATGAGTTTATTGTCAGACAAATGCAGTAATACAGACCAATTTGACAATCTTTTTTGTTTAGGAGAAGATTTTGTATAATGATATCGCAATAATCACACCACAATGCAATAATATTCATATAACATTACAGGGCTCTCACACCCCATTTTGGGACTGGGGCCCAGGGCCCTTAGAATCGGGAAAAATAATGGTGTTTTCCTTAGAATTGGGAAAACTTCGGGTCTAAATTGGGAAAAAAAGATACTATTTTGCATATATCGGCCCCAAATCTGGCAGAACGAGAGCCCTGCATTAGCATCGGTGAGACATTCACTTACGTCGTTTCTTTGCTGGTGGCACGTATATCTGTACTGGCTGCCTGTATCTTTTGATAGCAGCAGAAATTTCTGTCTTGGGCTCAGATTGGACGGAGGTCAAATCTTCATCGCTATCTATAACAGTAAGTCACAATATTTTACAACTGTGACCAGCAAACAGAGTGATGTTGTGCAAGACACTATGAATCTCACAGAATATGGAGAGATATAATAATGAAAGGGATGGATAGCAAATGCCAAGCAAACAGATTATAAAGAGACATACTTTTATATCTAATACTGTATCTAACTTTGTATTGAAAGGTGCTATACACTTTTGTGTCAGGTGGTGGACAATGCATTTGGACTTTTAGTCCCTTACAAGCTTTGCTGTAACTTGCAGGTAACAATTCAATACATTTGAACCATGAACATTTCAGAAATATCCAAATGTATCAGAAGTTCTTTTGAAATCATTCAATATTGAAAATTTGGAAGTTCATTAATTTTGGGGCCAGTGCACATTCCCATCTAGATCTGCTTCACTAATTTAAGCCTTCAGTATTACCTACGAGTCCCATAAGGACAAAACAGCTGTATGATCCAATATAATTCATTATTTGTCACTTTTCTAAATTTGTTTTGGAAGATGCTGTTCACTTGTACATTTTATACAATCTCTTAAAAAGATTAAAATACTATATAAATGGATATTTTAGCACTGTGCGCTTTGTGCAAAATGGACATAGCTTATATATATACCAGTATAGATTCTAACATCTACTAGCTTTACAAACCAACTTGTATTCATTTATCATAGAAGTATTCATTACTAGAAAGTGTTCAGGTGCATGTAGACTTACATCAACTCTATAGAGGCATTACTCATGCATTTACAATAAAAGAAAACATGCAAATTATTGAAATTCCTGGGTTTTCATGTGATTCTGTTGTTGACAGTCATTGAATTCATGTAAAATTAAACATGTGTAAAAAAATTCAATAACATCAGGTTCGTGTCAGAATATGAGCAACCAGACAAAGAGGAAAATTATCTGTGAAGACAAGGCATGTTGAAAAAATATTCTTTTTATATTCATTAATTCAATTTTAAAGTTCATACGATCTATATCCTGTATTAAGCATGAAGTACCAACACATAACAAGACTCCAAAGTAGTGAAGTGGGCTTAATACATGGCAAAGATATATAGTGGTGGTTTAGTTGGCATCAATAATACAAACGTTGGTATATAGCTATAACTGTTGTATCTGTAGAGTTATTTAATCCTTACCTGGTTTGGGACCAACTCTTGTCCTGATTGCTGCTAGGCTCACAGCCTTCTTTGCTGTTGTAGAATCTATAATTAAAACAAACATTTAAAATGGATTAGGATAACTTTGACTTCAGAAGCTAGAAAGATGAAGCTTGGCTTCAGAACCCTGAAGCATATTCCTTGATTTCAGAACCCTGAATAATGTACCTTGACCTCAAAACCACAAAACATGTACCTGAATTTTAGAGCCCAAAACACATACCTTCACCTTTTAACATGGTCCCACTGAAGATCTTTGCATCCATAAATGATCATGGCTGACCCCAACAAGTGATGGAATCATGCTATTGTAATTGCTTACGTAGAAGAAACCAGTAACCCACCACAGACAGAACATGATGTCAATGTGAAATTGTCTGTTATTTGCAGTTAAGATTTATTTATCCATAAGAATAGAATCACGTTTTATTTGCAACTGTTTATCATAAATACACTGTCATAACTATCACAAGTTTTACCTGAAGCAAAACCAGTACAATATAATAATGTAACCACATCACTCCTACCCACCTGAGTCAGTGTCATCCTCAGCTGAGACAACTGGTGTCTTTCTCCAGCCAAGTCGTCTTCTGATCTTTGGTTCTGCATCGGAGCTCTTAGTTTCCTGGTCTCCTGCAGCACCACCAGGAGTCCCCGCAGATAATCCCAATCGGCTACGTATACCACCGAGGCTAGGACGAGAGTTTCCACTATCCCCAGATTCCTTTGGTTTACTGTCCCAAGCCCTTCTACTCCATACATTAGTAGTTTTGACCTTAGGAGCACTGACCACTGGCTTGACCACTGGCTTGACCACTGGCTTAATCACTGGCTTAATCACTGGCTTAATCACAGGCTTGACAACAGGTTCTGGCATGTTATCCTGTTTCTTCTCAAGTTTTGGTTTCTTCACATCCTCAATCTCTTTCACCTCTTTGGGTCTGATATTGCTTCTGCTAGGAAATACTGGTACTGGGGCTGAAGTACAAGTTAAAACAAGGTTTTCCTAAAGTCATTCACATTTCACTTTCATAATTACCCATAAATTGATTATGTACAAATTACCTATACAATAGTATTTTTTATATTATTTCAAATAAAATACTGTCTCATATATGTAAAGCTTGTATGGTACCTCTTTTCATTACATTCTTTGAGAAATATAAGTAAGAATGAAAATGTCAATCATGCACCATACCTGGATCATCGTCCTCGAGTATAACTCTTCTCTTACGCTTGGATTTTTCTGCAAAAGGCAACATATGAAATAAGCATTGTTAAATTTAAGTTCTCATTATTTACCTAAGCACAACCACAGGTGGTTGGAAAAAGGCCTAAATATGTGAATATAAAGAAATAAGTTAAAATGTTGTAAATGGGTATTTGTTAAATATGACCCAGAGCATTTCAAGGTAAATAAAAATAAGTAATTCTTTTGCAAACAATCTAGCTCTGTGTTTATGCCAGTTTAAGATCAGATTGCAAATCATGAAACCTCCTATTCATGAAAACAAGCCAGTTTTAGCAGTATCATAATGGTTCCATTTTCATAATATCCTGACTTCACACCTTCTCAATCAAAAGGAGTCAGCATTTTTATAGAAAAACATCATTCCCCTCCCCCACACAAATTTTGTCTAACATAGTCATGGAAACCTTATTGAAAAAATTATAACACAACTGTAATAGGGTCAATGGTACTTCAGATGAAATAGTATTTTAGAAGATGCTGAAAAAAGATGAACATCACAACATCCCATATTCTCATATGTGCCTTATGTCTGATATATTGCAAAAAGTAACATTTCATCAGTTTTCAATGTTTTTTACCTTTCTCTTCTTTTGGTTCAACAACAAATGTTTTCTTGATTGTGACTTCCTGAACGACTTCTGAAGCAGGAATTATTAATAAAATCACTCATTTATGATGAAAATTTCATCTCAAAAGTGTTTCTTTTCAAAAAGAGGTTTTCATGCGTAAAACATAATAACAAATTGTTTTTCAATCATTTATATATCAACTACAATTGTTTTCAATCATTTATAAATCAAATACCAAATATTTTTTTATAAACTATAAAACACTTGAATGACTGTTAATATCTATAATATAAAGTGACTGAAAAACAATGGAATTCTTAATGGTAAAATTTGACCTGGAAATATATTCAAACTTGAAAAAGACATCAATGACAAAAGAAAACTTTACTTTCAAAGTAACTTACTTGCTTTAACTGGCTGAACAGGAACAGTCTTTTTTATCGTAAAATTTTCAACTGAGTCTGAAAATTTGATAAAAACATGCTTGGTAAGTACCAAGGAAAACTTTCTCCCCAAAAAATCCTAAATCTATCCAGATTCAATTCAATTACAGTGCTGAGGGCACTTATAGTATTTGTGTATGATGGATTAAAATTAAGGAGTGAAGAAAGTGGCATATCAGTATTGAAAGACAGAAATAAGAGGCCCACAGGGCCTGCATTGTTCACCTGGATCTTAAAACCTAGCGATAGTATACATGTCTATAGGTTGAGTTTTTCAATTAATTACACCTCTATTAATGGTAGCACAAGACAAGACACACTGTTTATACAGAATTATTTCCCCTCCTGAAAACATGACTCAGACTGGATTTGGACAAAATCCAATTATTCCTACAGGAGGAGTAAGATTTTGAAAAATTTGTTCTATTTCCCCTAATGGGCCCCGACCCTCCCTTCACAGGGAGCAGAGACCAACCGTTTATTAAAGGACTATTTCCCCTTCATCGGAAATACCTTATGATCAATTTTGGACAAAATCCAATCATGCTTTCATGGAAAGTAGGAGTTTAAAGCACTTGCAAAATTTCCTCTTGTGGGCTCCGCCCCTAAGGCCCTTTGGGGCTGAGACACACCATTCCTAGAAATATGTGCCTATTCCCCTAAGGATGCTCCTGACCAAATTTGGTCAAAATCCCCTGCAGTTGCTGCAGTATCCCTAAAGCATTCAGCATCAGATATACATAAACACCTCTATAGCGTATATACCTGATTTTCTTATCGCTCTCCTGGTATCTACGACCACTTTCAATGGTTCCTCTTCATCTTCTTCTTCCTCTGATTCCTCCAATTCACCTTCTGCTAACTCAATATCCACCTCCTCTCCAAGATCTTCCTCTTCAACTTCTTCCTTAACATGCTCACTGCCTCCTTCTGATCCACTCTCCTCATCTTCAGGCATTTCCTCGCTCTTTGAGTTTTCCTCCTCACTAGGTAATTCTCCCTTCGTTTTCCTCTTTTTCACAGCTTCTAAAGCTAAACATAAAACATCAAACATAATAAAACTGAAAATAAAAACCGAAAATGATTTGTGACCCATTTCGTTTCAACGCAGTATTAATGAAAGATTTTTGAAGCAGCAACACCTTCCAACACATAAAAGCAGATCTCTCAAAACATTTTCCCAAAAGTTCTTGTCCAAGATACTAAAAACATGAAATTTGTCTAAAAGCCAGAGTCCTATCAAATTAGTATTTTCTATTTTTTCAACGTTAATTTTAATTGTGAACAAGAATCCTTACCTTTTTCAGCTCGTGCCTTTCTCTTAGCTGCCATGATTTGCCTGCGTTTATTCTCTCTTTCCTGCTCCAGTTTGAGACGTTTGATCCTTTCCTCCCTCTCCTTGTTACGAACTTGAGAGTTTCGTTCCTCGGTGCTTCTCTTCCTCCCTGGCGATGGCGTATGTTTTGCAGTACCTATTCGCTTATGCACAGATAACTTCTCACTGGAGTTTTTCTCTGACTTGTCAATTTTTTTTCTCTCTTCATCAGTGGAATGTTTCCGTCTTTTAACAGGTTCTTCTTTTTTCACAGGCTGATCTTCTGTAGAATGAAGTTTATTTTTCTTAATTTCACAAAAGGAAAGAAAAAAAAATTATATCTGAGTATTTTGTTACCTTTTTCCTGTGTTGATCCAAATGATCAAACTATGATTCTTTTTTGCACTTTCCTAATGGTATATTATGGATTTAATTTTGGCCATGGAGAGATAAGAGGGTTTTTTTTACCTGTCTATGTATTTCAGAAAACAAAAGGCCCAAATGGACTGTATCGCTTATCTGGCTTTATTTGGCTGAAATTGCTTCATCTAACTAAAGGAGATTACATAATAAATATCCAAGCACAAAACAAACACCCTATCTGTTTCTCCCACTCCTCTTCTCCATAGAAATCAGATAAACCATTCATGATTCAGACAAAATTGGGAGTGAAGCTATGCATTCCCACAACCGGTGTTGCAAGGTTTTAAAAAATTTGACCCCTGTGACCTTGAATAAGGGTCAAGGTAATATCCCTTTTCACAAACTTTGTCTGGCTTTATTCCAGCAACCCACTGACCAAATACCATGACATTTGGTCTGACCATTATTGAGAAGAAGTCAATCACATGACACCTAATGGATTGATGCATGATGGACAACAAGCCACAGCATAAGCTCACTCGACTCTTTGGGCCAGGTGAGCTGAAAACCAACAAAGGGTCAAAGATAGAAAGATGGACAGATGGCCGGACTGATAATTGACGAACCATCTTTCAATAACATGACATATTATCATATGCTAACTCAATGGGCCTCACAATTACCTACTTTCCAGGAACACAAAACTTACTAGTTCTCACAATCCGACCACTCTTCAGTTCAATGATCCCCATGGACCTGAGTGCTCTCTCCCTTAATGTCTGCTCCAAGCTCTTTATCCCCAGGTCTTCATCTGAATTCTCTTCATCTGTTGTTTTCACTTCTAAAAATATAATAAACATTTTTCCGTATATAGATAGAATAGCAGATCATGATTTTGAAGATCAAAACTGATCATACATATAGAATTATTTACAAAACATATTTGAATGTTTTTACATTCATGTCTCTATCTTTTACAGGTGTCTTATCACCACAGAGACTGAATGAATTTAGCAATGTCACAGCAATGTTAATCAAAATATTTATAATCAATTAGATTGTCATTTTTGGGAGATAAAGAAAAGGGGGGGGGAGTTGGGGGGGGGGGGGGGTAGGGGTTTGTTGAGGGGATGGATGGAACATCCCCAATATATGTACCTTCTTCTTTTTCTGGTGGTTTTTTCTTTAATGATATAACTTTTGGTTCAACAGAAACAGCCTGTTTCTTCGCTGCCTGCTGGTCTCCCTCATCAGTATCTGCTGTCTGTGACACAGTATGTTTAGATCGTTCCTTAGCTGAAGCTAATGCTTTCCTAGCACGTTTCTGTTGGGGTGTCCCTGCTTTTTTCACTAATTGTTTGTTGTGAGGTGCTGTTGATGGTCGAGATTCTGACTTTAAAGTTTTGGCAGATAACTGTCCAATTTTTTTATTAGATTTTGGTAATATCGGTGAAGTCTTTTTAACTTTTACTACAGATTTTGACGAAAGAGAAGATGAAATTGCATTACTATTCTGAGGAAGAGACTTAATTGTTCCTGGAGAAGTCTTGAGCAGAGGTGAGGTTTTACCAGAAGGTTGATGTGATGACGGAGACAGAACTTTCTTCACTGGATCCAACAAAGCTGAATCATTTTTCTTCTCGGTTTCTTGAAATGTCAGATCTTTTCTACTAACTACATCAATAATGTTTGAAACTGACTTTGATTTTTGCACAACACTTTTAACTGGTGAATTGTAAGGACTGTCAAAATCAGAATCTGAAAAAAAAAACCAACAGATTGTAAACACATTGAACAGTGTTTAGTCAATGTTCATAAAGAAACCCATATACCATAATATTGGTACTGTTTGATAACAAAATCAATTTTTCTAAAAGCTTTCCCATGATTCAGTCACCTCTTGTTACATGTATTTTAAATGTAGACTTCAGATCTTGTTCCAAAATTCTTTGCATAGAGAAACATTTGTCTAGAGTTATTTTTGTCCTCCCATCAAAACTGTTCGATGTTAGATTTATCCTATGAGTATATTTCAGCCTTAACTTCAAATTTCCTGTATCAGAAATATAAAGGAAACATTACAGAAAAGTCTATGATGCTTAGCAAAATCAATTTCTCTTACATCTAGAAAGACTTTAATGCAAATACATAACAGGATTTAAAGGTAAAAAGGGGAATTGTTTTTTATCAGTTTGTTACATATCACTTTGATTACCTTCTCCAGGGTTAACTATAATGGGATCAATGACAGGTCCTTCCAGGGATTGGGGCTCTGCAAGGGTTCCTGGTGTGGGCTGGTCAGTACTTTCGTCCTGTGTAGCATCAACTGTAACCACCACATTGATCATCAATTTAACAACACATCAACAACAAGTAAGCAATTGGTATACTGTAAGTAATGATAACCCCTGGAATCTCAAGAATGTTGATTGTTGATTGATAATATATATTTTTGAACAAAGTAATACATGAACATTAATTACCAATAATTAAACAACACATAACAACTAACTATGGGGGAAACATGTACATACTGGTGGATTTCTTTTTCCACGATTTGTATTGATTAGCACATATCATCTTGTATAAAATCTATTACATTACGATGTAATGCTTTCAAATTACAACCCAAATTACGATGAAATTGATATTGGCCATTTACACAGACACTATCATCAGTTCTGGTTGACAGGGTTATTTACATAAATGGTATTTGAAAGTTAACATACTGGACGAATGGGATGTCAACATACTGGATGAGTGGGATGTTTACATACTGGATGACTAAGATGTTTACATACTTGGTGACTAGGATGTTTACATACTGGGTGACTTGGATGTTTACGTACTGGATGACTGTGATGTTTACATACTGGATGACTAAGATGTTTACATATTGGGTGACTAGGATGTTTACATACTGGATGACTAGGATGTTTACATACTGGGTGACTTGGATGTTTACATACTGGGTGACTGGGATGTTTACATACTGGATGACTAAGATGTTTACATATTGGGTGACTAGGATGTTTATATACTGGGTGACTAGGATGTTTACATACTGGGTGACAATGATATTTACATATTGGGTGACTAGGATGTTTATATACTGGGTGACTAGGATGTTTACATACTGGATGACTGTGATGTTTACATACTGGATGACTAAGATGTTTACATATTGGGTGACTAGGATGTTTATATACTGGGTGACTAGGATGTTTACATACTGGTTGACTATGATGTTTACATACTGGGTGACTGGGATGTTTACATTACGGGTGACTGGGATGTTTACATTACAGGTGACTGGGATGTTTACTTTACGGGTGTCTGGGATATCTACATACCTAGAGTGATGATGTTGGCGCTACTGCCACTCGCCTTCAATGCTTTCTGAGGTCTCGGCTTCGTATGTTTAAAAGGGCAAAGCTGTCTGGTACAGCCACTGGCCACAGTCTCAAAATAACATGGTAGCTCTGCTTTGTTTTGCTGCAAAATTGAAACCCAGGATTGCACGAAGGGATGATACAACAAATTTTTTGTCATTTATACTATCTATTATAAAAATAACTTGACAAGTTGCAATTGTTCTGGATACATCCATAAACCTTTTTCATCTTATCTAAATCTAAAGAGCAAATGTGAATTTATGAACTAAAACTGCAAAGAAGTTCATGAGATATCTTATACATAAGCTTTTTATCTTAAAAAGTGGTAAAGGATGACCTTTGACCTTGACTGATGACCACTAAAACCTCATAAGGTATAGACCTTGTATGCTGGGTTGTTGTAATGGTGTAAATATCAACTTTATCAGTCCTGGGGTTCATCAGATATCTTGTACAAAAGGTTCTTATTTAGGAAACGGTCAAAGGGTGGTCTTTGACCTTTAACCTTATTGATAACAACCAAAATCTAATCAGGTATAGACCTTGATAAAGTGATGCAATTGTGTGAATATAAACAAAATCTGCCCGTGATTTCAGGAGAAATCTTGTACACAAGGCTATTACAGATGCACACACGAAGTGATATACACACCCCCACTACCAATAGTATTAATATGCAGATCAGCAGAAAATGTTTTCAAGCTCACCATGATTGGTTTAATCCTCTCTGAATGACGATATGGACATTCTTTAGAATTACATTTATTTTGTTTCCAGTACACACAGGTCACAGTGCTCTGCCGGGCAGCTTCACAATGTCGATATGCACAGTTGTTTCCCTATAAAGCAGATATATTTACAGAATTCCATCAGTAACAAATTTCCAAGGAAAAAGGAAGAAAACAAATATTTCCATGAGTTTTAAATCACATCAGTTACTGTTCCAATTTTGTTAACCTTCAATAATTCTGGTCTTTGGTAATGTTTCAAGCCAGCTATAAAAGCAAAAAAGAAAAGATATTCCAGGTATTACGATGAGAAGAACTGTTAATGATTATGACACTCAATCTTTATAACCATTTTACACAGGGCTATCGTCTATGATCTATTGATAACACAGAGGGAGGGAAGTGGAACTGTAAAGCTGTTTGAACCAGTAGTAGAACTGCAGGTTGACATATTTTATGACATAATATTGAAGCGGATCAGCCTCATTAGTTTACATATTCTACTAACAAAGCATATTTAACTTCCTGCTCTAAATGGCCATAATATGTACCCATAATACCTGAAATACTGATTGATTACTTATTGACCTAGAAACCACATGTAATGACCTAAAAACCATATATAATGACCTAGAAAAAGCAACTGTACTCAATCTATTTTTCTACATCATTGAAAATGATAATATTTGATAAATCAAAATGGTGTATTTTCATTTATCATATAACTGGCTTAATGTGTCATGTCATACGACCATGTCATAAATATTCTTAGATGTGCTGTCATAAATCACATCTAGATGATGTCACATGATTGTCATGCATGATTTAAAAAAAATGTACTGTCCACATCCAAGTTATATGGTATTCATCAAGCTTGTTTAACAATTTGATGCGACTCGTCTAAATGCTCACAATATATCAAATTTCTGAACTCGTTTACAAAATTCTATATTAAACTTACACTTATGTATGATACCATATATACAAAAATATATTGGATTTTATTATAAGTAAGTACTGAAATACCTATTACACATCAAATACCGAAGACTTTGATATTTTCACTGTATCACGGCATACCGAACAATCTCGATTGTTCACAAAAAGTACAGGAAAAAAGGCATTATAATTACTGGTAAACTCCTCTTGCTTGTATGCAGAACTCAAAGGTCATGTCATCAACATCGTGCACTTGCTAGAAGGCATGAGCTAATAATCATATCTATATCCTGTAACAATCCCTGGGGGCCAAGAAATCATCTTTCATTCAAGGTCAGGGGATAGTAGTGATGGGAAATTGAATTTGAAATTCTTAATTGATCATTGGTAAAAATTGGATAAGCTTTTCAATGTAGTTAATAGATTACGTAATTGACTGACTGACTTTTCAATATTCATAGAAAGTGAATGGATTCTCTTTGGCATTTTCTATTTTGTAACTTTAACCTAAAATATTTCATTTAGGTTACCTAGAATTAACATAAGAATGAATATTATTAGAAAGTGGAATCTTTACTATGCATGACATAAATTTAGTGTTTGCTAGGTACTGATGATAGATTATGAAAAATTTCAATTGATCTATGCATCAGATCAGGTTAAACAATTAAATAATTGATTGCTGTATATGTAATCATTATCCCATCACTAGTGAATCCGGTTTGGCTTTGCACAGGGCAATGAAATATTACTTGGTTGCAATATTGCTAAACAGTAATGTACAATTATATATTTTTGGGTGGGCTTATTAGAAGTGACAGTCATGGGTTTCCGGTTAGATAAATACATTTCTATACCAACCTTTGTACATGTGGAAGTATAGAAGTAAAAACAGTCATCATTTGATGTTGCCATCTCCGTTGAATTTCCTGAAAGCAAGACTGTCTTTTCACACAAACAGTTTTATCACAGCTGACATCCACAACATTTGTAGATCACGAGGATGGCATCTGTATGTTAGTTTGTCACTAATATCACAAGGTCAGCTGTCAACACACTTTCACACTAGATCTTAAAAATCTTCATCTGCTTCACGATGTCTCTTTATCACCAAATAACCATTATGTTCTATTATTTCACCAAACATATGTCTCCTTTCTATGCTATCTAAATTATTGAAATTGTTTTTGAATTTTGAAAAAAAAAAAATGTCTGGGTGGAATAGGCTGAAAAAAAGAATAGCCAAAATATAAAACTAATTAAAAGGAATGTTGCACAGTTGAATCCCAGTCTTGTCCCAAAGAAAACAGCAAACACTGAAATCAGAGAAGAAAATTTCATCAACAGAGGAAAGACTTTCAACTAAGGTAGAATTTGATATAAATACATGCTGCACAGTCCTCAAAATTTGAAGTCCCACAGAAAAATCCTTAAACCAAGACTTAAATACCCGAGTCACAAACATCACTAGCTGTGTATTATACTCATAGATATCTTCAAATTGGTTTCAGTTTTAGGAGTAATCAATATAAATGTATTTTAATAAAATTATCAAGAAGAACCAAGACTTGTTACAGAGTTTAAAGCAACTTCTTTTTTCATTCATGGCCACACAGTCAAAGCTAAAAGCTCATTAAATATATAGTAATATTTACCAAACGTTTTATAAATATCCTTTGTTTTAAACAGAAAACCTGAGAAATAGTAGTCGAAAGAAGTAATTTTACTTTCCATGCACTTGTATGTTGGGTAAAACAGTAAAATATTAAGTCAAAATACCGTATTTTTTTTAAATTTCAGAAATATTACAAACAACACCTACATATTATACTGCACAGTGTAAGCCCTAGTGTTGTACTCACCTTATAAATTTTAACTGCACATACAGACATCACTTGCACAATCATTCTCTACATTTGAGCATCATAACTGTACCTTCTCAAATAAAAAAAAGACGGCAAGGACATTAGATAAAACACTGTATGTATGTGGTAATTTCTGATCAAAATATTAATCACTATGAAAAAAAACTAATTCCTCAATTTACAATATCAACCTTCACTGAAAGTTGTATCAAGTTGAAATTTTGCATTACCTAGTATATCTAACTTAAGCCTTTTAATTACTTCATGTTATTTTTTGTTTTTGAAAATAGGATTCAGTTCTTGTAATTCTTGAAAAAAAATAAGACAAGAATATCATTGAAACCCTAACTTTACTACCCTTACACTGAGACTCCTCAAAATGTACACAGATAATGAGAATAAGACCAGGTGTTCTGGAAAAGTAAGCATCTTCTGCTTCCTTGATACCTGCCATGTAAATCTTGATCAATCCACAAGTAGTGCCACATTCTCAAATGAGAACAAGAAATACAACAACGAAACCAACAAGCAAACAAATGACCATCAAGCATGTACAGCTTCATATCACACAAAGAAATAGAATATTTTTCATTGAGGTCACTATGACAACCTTTAAACTTCCCCATAATTTTCATCAACCTGCATCTTTTGATACCCTGAGTTATGAGTTTGTCTGTCGTGATCAGTTGATAACAAGTGGGCCATTCAGTGCTAAGTCAATTCTGCTGCATCAGTAAAAATTCAATTGTAGATATAATTTCAAGAGAGTAGGCTTCAATGACATCAAAGCTCAGTGAACAAATACCTGTAATAGCTGATGAATGGCATTTGTTAAAACACAAGAAAATATTAGTGCTAATGATCAATTAGGAAAAATTACAATCGATCATTGCATCAGCTGATGATATTTAATTGATCATGTCATATGATTGTCCAATCACTACAAAATCAATTATATATCTTCATCTTTAACAACCTACAAAAGTTACTCTTAAGAGAAAAGATATCTTTGATTCTCATTTGAGAATATATTGATTCTGAGTAAACAACGAAAAAGAATATTCTTAATCTGACACCAGCTCATTGCATATACTTTTATAAATCTCATAACAGATTCTCAGTCCAAAAAGTCACATTCGGATGAATTGTAATATAAAGTTTTGACATCCAAAGCTATGAAATAATTATTAGAATTAATAGGATTGGTGAAATATTTTGTATTAATACAATAACTGTCCAATCCTAAGAGAATGGAAAAAAATTTGAGTTTTGTTGACCTTACGCCCTGTCTGTTTTAAATATAGGTGTAACATCATCGTTGTGCAACGTACTGGCGACGGTGGAGAGTTGGGATTATATATTAAATCCAATAACTCTTACCAGTAAGCCATTAAAACAAATCCCTGGAGTATTTCATCAATGCTATCTAAATTTTTTGTTATTCTATAGAGTCAATCACTAGAAATGTATGATAGAAGAGTCATCATTACACAAACAGAAATATTCAACTCTACGGTCACCTGGACGGATATTTCAACAATGGACGAAATGTAATTTTAACAGTTTTCTTCGGAGCAAGATTTGCATTGTACTGACAACGAGACATTTTAACTGAAGTTACAAAAGCGTGAATGTACTTATTTTCACCTTACCGTATATATAATAGAAAAATAATATTTCTTATGAGATACGTTTAAATTGTCCTGGCTTAACCATTTTGACGATGTTTCTCTTTAGTACCGGATATGACGTCAATATGACTAGCTATGTAGGCGGTTAGAGGGTTAAGCTGATTGGGTACCAACGGGCATAATCGAACCGAAGGCAATCCAAACTAACATTACGCCAACGGAACGATGTTATGTAGAGAAGGCGTTGGTAGCGTGGCTCAAAATAATTAAATAAAATGTTTATAGACACAACATGTCAAAATCTTTGTTAACCATGCCAAGAGTATCTAAAAGTACAATTGTATAGAAATTACCAAAATTCAATACTCGCCGATTTCTCCATTTTAATGTAAAATAAGGCTTTAGGAGATGGCAGTTCTTCGATAAGCGCAAAATCAAATGCTTGCTAAATACGAACAGTTTAATTTTATTTTCTGATATAGATTTAGTACAACCATATGCATATTCCAAAATTTCCAAAACGAATGACCTATAATTTTTTGAAGACTATTTCGACTTCATTCTTCGTAAGACGTTACTTTTCTGCTTAACAGAACTATACATAATAAGATCCCACATATTTTTTTCAACCAGGTATATAAAACTTTATACAATTTTTATTAATTTTACAACCATTTCGAAACAACTTACTTCAGCTAACACTAATCACTCTTAGTGGCCCGGATGTAAGCACGGGAGGAAGGAAACCGGAGTACCCGGGAATCTAACCCCGGACGGTTAGGCGAAAGGCACGTGTGTTACAGGTGTAAATATACATCAGTTAAATCCATCAAACCATTTTCACTTGTTAACCAAAATATATAGGATCAGACCGTTTCCTTGCTTAGAGAACGACAAAAGAATCACTACACGACGTGTAACGTATTTATGATGCATGTATTGATGTTAACGGTAAAAAAGTACTGTACCTTTGTTGATTTTCTTAAAGAATTCGATACTGTTCAGTGTTTAGGATAAAATGAGGAAAAATAAAAACAGCTTAAGGATGCTGTAGAACTAGTAAAATGTCAGATAAAATGGTAGTTAACACTCCCGAACACAGACTTGCCTTTATGAAGGACCAAAGGTAATTATTTCAAGGTAGTCATTCTGTATGGCGCATTCAAAAGTATGACAGCGTCGCGAACTGAACACTCTATGACCATTTCTGTTAACATTCACACAAACGCACAACCAGTCTATCTATTTACCTTAGCGACGAGTCGTCGAGGGTATATAGGAATAATCCCATGTGCACGTTAATTGTCAAAAACTAGGTCGCTGTTACTTTAAATGGAATTCAACCATTTTCTTTATGTCACCACTACGCAGGCTGCATTTGTAAACTGATTGGTACAGAACTCCACACACATGATCATAAACATCACTTCTTGCACGAGTTCGACTTCAAACCTTGTACAGTCAACTACCAGGTCACTCTTACTATATATAGAAACAAACAATTTTTTACACCATTGCATTAAAGGCTCCATTACTTTTGACCTGGGTTGTTAAAAAAAAACTAGGTCAAGTTTATTGACTGAAATTTGGATGCGATCGATCTACATGTTTCAATTTGACTACCAAAAGACTTCATTTGTGTCAGTACTAAAACACCAAATGCATTGTCTTCTATGGCAACATCATATCAAATCGCCTACCCATCATTTTGGTAGTTTATTAGACCATATCTACATTAGAAACATTCACGCCATCAAATTGAGCACCATCTTCCAGTATTACACAGACATCACTGTCATTTATGCAGCATTTAAATGAATGGTACATAGTTTATCTGAATTATACTACTGTAACCTACATTTGCACTGCACTGTACAAATACTCTAACCATGTCATAAAAAATTGAGGCGCGAAGGTATTTGTATCGAGCGCGGTGCCTCAATTTATTTATCTATTTTATTATATCTATTCATCTATCATGATATTTCTATAAATTTAACATTTAACCACTTCTGTTTTGGATAAAAGATGAACTATCAGATTGGTTGGAAATTTCTAATCAGTTAATATGATATATATACTTTTCTGTTTCCCAACTATCATCCTCCCTCTCCCCTCCTCCTCCTCCTCCTCCTATCATCCTCCTCCTCCTCGTCGTCGTCGTCGTCGTCATCATCATCGTCATCATCATCTCAGTCTAGGTTTTATGTTAATTTTTTAAGACTTACCTGGTCATTTCCCCGAAGCGATCATTCCGCTTACATACATACATGGACATGTTTCATAGCTCACTGGAAGAACGTTATAAAATGAGTTGCCTCCCTTACAATATACATATTTAACAAAAAAACAAAAAAAAAAAAAAAAACATCTGTATTGGGCGCCGTTTTAGTATTTATCTTTAAAACGTGGTATCAATAATTCATACTCCTGGAAGAACGGCATCTCTCTAAAGCTTTAACTGGTTTCGTTATTCTGTTTTCCTTAGAAACGATAGACGATTCAGAG